TTTTCTTAATGACCTCTGGGAGCTCATCTGCTCCCTCTTGGTCAGCAGAAGCTGCTTGTCTTATTATCATGACATTTTTTTAAGCCAAACCTTTTTCTAAAATTATCAAACCATCCTTTGCTGTCATTAAATTCTCCAGGTTTAGATCCTTTGCCTTAATTTTGTTTTAAGTTATCATATAATAACTTCATTTTTCTTCAAATTGTATTAAACCCTGTAGGTATACCTTTCTTGTAGCAATCCTGCACCCACATAAAAGCTATGCTTTCAATACATGATTAAAATATATTTCACTGAAAGTGCTAAGGTTTTCATGCCTGCTGGTATCACTGCAGCCACAGCTTCATAAACTCCCTTTTCTTTCTCATTCTTTGCTTTTTTATGTTTTTACAATGGTCCTCTCCTTGGATTTATTTATCTTCAAATGATGGTCAACCACAGCTGTAGACCGTAATTTATGGTCTGCAAGATATTAAACTTTTTCTTGTAATGTCATGACTTTTTTCTGCTTCTTGGGAGCACTTCCAGCATCACTAGTGGTACTTCATATGGGTTCCCTGGTGTTAGTCAAGGTTTACAATATTGCACAGTGAAAAACACTTAAGAACTGCAAAAGATTACTTTTTATTGTGATAAGAAATTTACCAGAGAGACAAACTACTCACAGGTAGATGAGGAACATCAATTGGCACTTTAAGCAGTTACTTGCAACACTGGAGCTCACTGAAATAGCAACAAGAGGTGGCTTTGAATTTATTCCAGTAGTACAGTATATACTAAAGTTAATTTTATGCAGCTGTGATTTAATATTGCATATTTAAGTTCACATTTCTGTCAAGTGGGAATGGCGCCATGTAAGTTAGTGTGCATGTTTTGATAAATTATAGCCTTTAATAATATATTTTTATATATTTTATGTTAGAAAATGATATCATAGACTAGTGTTTACATATATTTTATGCATTCATGAATACCTAACTTTTTAAGTATTTCTAGGCTACATGGTTTATCTGTGAGTTTTTTCAAATTGTTACAAATCTTCGAAAGTTTAAAAAATATATTTGTTGAAGAAAATCCGCATATAAGTGAACCCACGCAGTTCAAACCTGTGTTGTTCAAGGATTAACTATCCTTTACTGACTCTGTCTACTCAAATGCTAATCTCATCTGGAAACACCTTCACAGATATACTCAGAAACCACGTTTAACCTGGGCACCCCATAATCTCCTAAAGTTGACACAAAATTAACCATCACAGACCTATGCGCCCAGATACTGCTGGGCATCTCCACCTGATGGTTCATAGTCACCACAAGCACTGTGTGATCAGAGCCCATTTGGCCATCTTTTCTAACCTGGCTCTCTCCCTGCCCTGCTGCCCCTGAATTTGCTTTTCCTCTTCTTTGTCCCTATATCAGTTAAATAATTTACCACAAAGTTTTTCCAAGCTAAAAGATCCAGAGTCATTTTGAGGTAATTCCTTTCCCTCACCCTTTCAAAACAAGCTAGTACATAGATCTTATTAGTTCTATTATAGCTCTGAAATATGTTTTAAAAGCTATCTACTTCTTTGCCCATAGCATTTTTCACCTAGACTGTTACAACAGTCTTTTAATTGGATTCACAGATCACTCTGCCCTTCCTTCATCATGCCCGTCCATCCTCAACATAACCGCTAGTCATTCAGGTTACCAACCCAAAGCATCTCCTTTGCACCCTCAGGGGCCTGCGCTAGCCAGGAGAGGATAGACTAGTCTGGCCTATGGGAAGGATTTTCGTTCCATGTCTCGGCCATGCTGGAGTTGTGAGCAGAGGCAAACTGACAGCTCAAGCCCAGCTTATGCAGATTAAAGACGTCCTCGGGCTGGGAGGAATGTTTCAGGCTTAGCACTCACTCATCACTGGGGTAAGCCTACCTCCTATGACAACCAATGGGCATGAGAACAAGAGAGGGAGGCATGAACCTGGCAACCCTGCCTTTCCTGCTGATTTGGGGTTTGTCCTTGGGGATCTCACCAGTAATCTCATCTTATCAGCTCTTGGCATCTTAGGATCATGTAACACCTACACTGATTCTCTCTGGTTCTCTCTGGGTCATGCATGGCATCAAAGGTGTTATTCTGGTTTTAAAAATATCTTCTCTGAGTTAATCAGATGAATGCCAAGTTTTCCTAAATATTCTACATTAATTGGGGGAAAGGAGTGGGTTATAAAGTAAAAAGAAAGGCAAGTTTTCATGGATTAGTTTCCGCTCAGAAAGGACAGGTGGTGAGCCACCTCTAATACATCTAATATAAAAACAAAATGGGTGAAGAACATTGGCAAAGATGGGTCTAACTTTACAACCCTGCCCCTGTGCCTAGCAATGTTCCAAGTCTATCTTATGTCCAAGTCTGTTTGCTGTTAATACTTCAAGTCTGTTTTAATGGGCTCCAAGTCCATTTTAAATCTCTTTCAGCCAAACTAGTGTGAGTTCACTTCTCTGCCTCTTGGGTTTGCTCAACAGATAAAAGTCCAAGCCCTTCCAACTTGGACTTCCAACAGAGGACAGAACATCCTGTCCTCTGACTCCCCTGGGTTCTGCAGAATTCAGAGTGACCTGTCACTGGGTGGTGTATGTATAGATCCTCCTCATTAGTTGTGGATTCTACATTTGTGAATTCACCTACTCATTGATACTTATTTGTAACCCCCAGATCAATACTTGCAGTGATTTCATGGTTATTTTTGAACATTTTCAGAGTGTCAACAAATGTGAGTTGCTGATGTGAATGCACATTCCCAGCTGAGGTCAGCGTGCTCACTGCCTTCTTCTTTTGGCTCACATACTATAAATGTGCCCTTTTAATAGTCTATTAGTTGCCATTTTTTTTTCCCCAAATTTTTGTGCTTTGGGGTGGTAATTTCACTTTTCTAATGGCCCCCAGATGTTGCACTAAAGTGCTGTCTAATGTTCCTAAGTACAAGAAGGCTGGGGGTATGTATACCTCATGGAGAAAACATGTGTGTTAGATGAGTTTCATCCATGCCTGAGTCACAGGGCTGTTGGTGTGAGTTCAATGTTAATAAATCAACAATATAGTACATCCAGAAAAGGAAGTTCACCAATATGTACATGCAGCTGTTCTGGAAAGTGCTGAAGTGACATTTATAGTGCATGAAGAAGCTATGGAAAGGACAGAAAGGCAGCTAAATTTATGAATTTATAAAATGACAACTGATTTTTAAAGTGTAGTGAAGAGAACACTGTTGAGAGGCTGAAAGTCCAAGAAGCTCACAGTTATGTTACCCAGCATCAGGGAAATGTTAAATCCTTCTCTGCTAAGGTTTTATTATAAAGAAATACTACAAATAACTAACTTGTAAGAAATATACATTAAAGAAGGTGCCTTAAACAAACACAGTAAAACAAGGTTACATAGTGATGGGTTGATGAAAATGTTGTGACCCGAGGCTCAGAGGAACCTAATCCTGTATTTCCCCTAGGAGCAATGGTTCCATATTCACTAATTCAGTGTTCACAACAACTTTATAGAAAGGAACTACCACAAATAATGAAAATTGACTGTTCATCAGTTTCTGCTTCACATCATGTCTTCTTTGTATCAACACCTCTACCTACTAGTGTCTCACTCCTATTCACTGTTGAATAAACTTGTGCTAAGTGAATAAAGTCTTACTTATGCAAGCACGTTTTCTAGGGAGATACAGTATTACTGGGAATTTTGAGCCTCAGCTGTGTAACAGAAGGATATAAGCTAGGTGACATCTAGGGGGCTGATGGGTGGGATTATTAGAATGAAAGTAAACACTGTCTTTAAGAAAACCTACGAAGGATATAGTCTGCCTATGGAATGTCAAAAATGGTACATCATGTGTTGTTCCAACTGCATGCCTTTGTAACATACCAATGTTGCAAGGTCAGGTGTTTGTTTCTTCACTCCTTGTGCAGTCAGCACACATTGATTTTGCTTTTGCGTCAGAACGTGACACTCCATTTGGTTGGGGTCTGTTTTATACCTTTACATTTATCTTCCTGAGATATGTATGGCCAGTTTTTCTGTGACTAAATATCAAAGACACAGATAGAACAGTTTTATATCTAAGAATTTCATGAAGAGTGTTTGGAATAATGTAAAAATTTTTTTCCTTTTAAAAATTATTTTTAGTTGACAAATAATAATTGTACATATTTGTGGGGTACACAGTCATCATATATTTTGACACATAAATAGTAATGAGATAAAGGTAATTGGCAGGAATCATGTTTGAATCCATATGACCCATACTCTAAGGACATCCTAGCCTGTGGTTGCTGGAATGACCATCACATTCTTTTCTTTCATTATAGAAGAGAAAAAGCGCCACTGAATTCCTCCTTTGCCTACTGTGAAAGCAAAAAGTAACAGGGCAAAGTGTACATGAGATAAGCAGAGAGCAGAGTTGGGACAACTTTTGTAGGGACACAGGGTCTTCTGGGCTTCTGTGGCTTTGGAAGCCTGTGCCTGGGAATGTCTGAGAGCCCCTGCTTTCTTAAGGGCTATCTCCGCTGATATTTAGAAGTGAAGCCCAGAGTTCAAGGGTAGAAGGGAAGAGATTTAGAGTTGTTTATGGCTACGTTTCATGGTCTAGTAATACCGCTGTAAGTCACTTCATCAAATCTTGATTTCTTGTCTACTTAACAAAAATGGAATGTAGCTAAAGAGTTTACTAAATCCTGATAAAAAATATGAATGTTTTTATAACTTCCAGATTTAAGGACAAGTAAATTTAAGAAAAAACCCCCAGCCATCACTTTAATTCCTTAGACCCAGGGTAAGGCACCCAGCCTGACAGTGAATGTCTATTGACAACATCCTTGTATTTGAAGACAGAATTGACTATAGATGGTACCAGGAAGTCAAGGTCATGGAAAGCTATCTTGAGAGAAATCTTCCTCATGAAGTACGTTTTCCATTTAAAGATGAAGCATGAAAATCAACATCTATTTTATAGAAAATAGGAAATATTTAATATATATAAATTTATTTGCCCTGGCAATTATTTATTTACAATTGATGATTGATGCCAACAATTGAGGTAAAAATATACATGAGGTATAAATATAATATTTAAATGCAATATCATACTTTATTTCCATTGGCAAGATAACAATGAATAAAATACTATGGTATTTGACAAACAAGCTTGATGCGTTTTCTCCTTTCTTTCCCTTTTTCTTTTTTTAAAAAGATGCACCGTGTTGTTAGGCAGTGGTGGTGTGATTACTTTGTGCACAAAGAAAAAAGGTAATTTGAAGAGGGGGAGAGTCAGAAATACAATCACATTTGTTTTTATTCTGTTTTAGGGATCTTCTAGGTCCTTGTTTCTAAGTGTGGTTTTAGGCCAGCAGGATAGGCATCCCTGAGACTCCTCACAAATGCAGAATCTCAGGCCAGCCCGGATTACCTGGAGCAGAGTCTGCAGTTTCACCAGATCCCCAGGCAATTTGTGTGCATGTGAAAGCTGGACAAGCGCCTCTCCGGGTGATCCAAAGCCACTCATCCTCGTGTGCCTATCACATTTTCCAAACACATCGGATCCCGTCTCTGGAGCAGGACCAGTGTTTAGCTAGATTAAACTTCACTAGAGATCTTGCTGATGCATACAAAATAATCTTGCATACATGGTTATATCTAAGATGTTATGGCAGAAGTGACTTTGTTTTGCTCACAAAGCATTGCCCAAATGGCAAATTACGGATTTGCTGTTACCTTCTTGTAGATATGGGAATAAAAAATTTCTAGGTCGTAATTCAAACTGTATGATTTTCCTTGCACCATACCAAACTCGTAGAAAGCATTTTTATTCCTCTCAATAAAATAATTGCACATTGCTAACAGAAACATTATATAAATGCATATAATACAAAAACCTGAAAACACTCATTTGCTTTTCCTTTTTTTCCTCCAACACAAGTTGCTAAATCATATCAATCTCTATTATAAATGACCAAAGAAAACCTCTCTCCCTGAAATCAAACACACAATAAGTTATCTTTCTCTCCAGAGCTGCTGAATTACAATAAGAAGCACATTAGATCCATTAGCATTCGGCTAAGGGGAGTCAATTTTCTTAGTCTGTACAATAATAAATAAGGTTGGGTCAAATGCATAGGTAGCTTGGACTGGCTAGTGAAGAAACAGAGAATTAATAAACCCTATTACACTTTCTAAAACTAATCAAAGAACATAGTTTTGGTCTTATGTTAGTTAAAAACCCTGTCTTTCAGATTGCAAAAGTTTAATGAATTACATTTTAAGAACATCCTACACATAGCAAAATACGAATTCCCTGAAGCTGTAATGATCTAGGATTTGAACGGAACGGCCATCATCTCCCCTCGTGTTGTGGTGTCCAGAGTTGAATTCAGTGCAATGAGAAAATACCAATTAACTGTGACCAAATAGGCCACTGGTCAAATAGAACAACAACTTCACAACATTATGAAATGAATGTATAAAAACTTGAGGCAACACAGGAGCTCCCTTTGGCTGTGAATAAGTAAAAGCTATCGTATTCATCTTGACTTGGGGTCTGTAGTGGTGGGCATGGGAGTGGGAAGTATTGCTTCTGTTTCAGTCATTCTCACTGATTCCAGTGGTCCACATCTTACTGAAATTGCTTCTCATTGGGCTGAGTGGCAACTCCTCATCTAGCCTTACATTTGGTAATGACTTCTCACCCACTGCTTTGCTTCGAGGAGGAGTATTCTTTCCCTGCTTCATCCCAGAACTCTACTCTCAGTTTTTGAATAACAGAAACAAAGCATCAACACATAAGTCCCCTTTAATGTTATTTTCCTTTGGTTAGCTAATCTTTGGTTAGGCATCAGGGCATGTTCACACCTTGGTGTTAGCAGCAGGTTCTGCACAGCTTACAGGACAGTAGAGAGATGGGGCCCAGTGCCACTTGGAAAGAACTATGTGAGGAAGGGACTCACTGAGTCAGACACCATCCTTTTCAAAACACACAATTCTATATAAAATTGGTATTTTACATATATACAGTAAAGATGGAGATATACACACATATGTACATATGCTATACATACATTTATTTACAGTTAAGTATACGCTTCTTAGAAGCCTTAAAATAGCAAATTAGGCAATGCGCAAGGAATAATCCATTTAATTTTAAGCAACATAGATAAATGTTCTCATTTTAAAATTATATTAGTAGGGATGTAGCCATCTCCAGGAAGGCTAGGAAAGTTCTTGGAAATTCTTGCACCTCCAGCATTCCAGCTTCTTAACGTTTCCATTTTTAGGCATTAACCACATCCGTCAGTTCCTCTTTCTCCTGCGTTCTCACGTGCACACTCCCTTCCATACGTGTTACTTTAGTTTCCTCTTCCCTGAGTTGGATGTCACACTGGGGAAAACTCAGATTTTAGTTTCTGGGCCCTCAGCAATGAGGGGCTGGAAAGAGTTTCTAATCCTGGCAACTTCTGCTGCACACAGATGTCCAAAGCCTTTGCTGTACCATTCTGGGGAGTGACCTCTGTAGGGAAAGAAATCAGAAAGGGAGTGGGAAAGTTATTTTTCCAAATCAGAGCAATTAGTCATGGTGGACAGGGCTGCCCTTGGGCCCCGATGACTAGTGCATCTGCAGACAACTCGGGCTGCCACCTCCAGGGGCTCAGGACCTCATTCTGTCATCAGGGGCCTTGAACATGTCCTGGCTGCCAAGTATTCATGCCGTCTTTTCAGTACTCATCAGGTGCTTTAAAATGATACCAACACCTCAGGGTAAAGTGAAAAGATTCAGATGAAATCCAGAATTTACTGTGAAAATTCCGTTATGTCTACCCAGACCAAGTACTGGGTTTAGCATCATGAATGCCTTGAGGGGATTGGATTCAAGTTAGTTCCTTCTCAAAGAACTCTCAGAGGGAGCAGCAAAAGGGGACAGGCATAAAAGAAGCACACAGTCGGGGGCAGTGGCTCATGTCTGTAGTCCCAGCACTTAGGGAGGCCAAGGCAGACAGATCATTTGAGGCCAGGAGTTTGAGACCAGCCCGACCAACATGGCAAGGCTCTGTCTCTATAAAAACATTAGCTGAGTATGATGGTGGAAACCTGTAGTCTCAGCTACTGGGAGGGTGAGGAGGGAGGATCACTTGAGCCCAGGAGGTGGAGGTTGCAGTGAGCCCTGATGTCACCACTACACTCCAGCCTGGGCGACAGAATGAGACCCTATCTCAAAAAGAAACATAAGAGAAGAAAACTCTGATTTACTGAGCGTCTCCTATGTGTCAGGCTCTGTTACTGGTGGGTGTTTCATGGGAGAAACAGAAATATAAGTGGGCAAAAAAACAGAAAATAAAAAACGGCAAAGGGCTGAGGAGAGATGTCAGAATTTCAGCAAAGGGGGAAAGACAGAGGGGAAAAAATAATGAAACAAGAAACCAAATCAGGGTGACATCCCTGCTGGATGTGCCACTGGGGGAGTTGGCACTTACTTCAGGTCTATCCTGCAGATGTGAGTCAGTCTTGACTTGCCAGAGCCACATGGTTCTATCAAGTACTGGGAGTCCATCACCACCGCTCTCACGCCACCCAGGAGCTGCGCTTCCTCGTGCTCCACAGAGAGGGACACCAGGGTACACATTCCTTTTGGCAAATCGGTCTTCCAGGTCCTTTAGCAAAACAATCCGCAAATCAGAGTCATGACTGAGGGAGGAAGAAAAACCTGAACACAGAGCTAAGGTTTGTATTGATATTTTTCCTGGGCTCGGATTCCAATGCTAGGGACTTGGATTAAGATGATGGTTTTCATAAGCTTGTGTAAAGTTTATACAGAGGATTTCAAAGCAAGGATCTCAGCTCTGATACTTTGAGGCCAGACGTGGTCTTGCAGCTTTCCCATCTGCATTTGGAACCCCCAGCCCTGCTCAGCTGCAGAGGCTCCTGCCTATTCTCGAAGAGGTGGTTTTACAGTTTAGGAATTAGAACTCACTCATTCGATTCATTCAGCAGACATCAATTAAGCACATAGATATGCCAGGCTCTGAGAAGCCACCAAGGACATAAAGCTATACACAGCCAAGGAGGAAAAACTGACAACTCAAAACAGAATTCCAAAAGCACCGGGGCAAGTGCACTGACAAGGTTATGCATGGAGAGCTCTGGGATCACATGGAGCGGAGCTGCGGGAGGAATACAGAGAAGGCTTCCTGGAGGAGGGGATGCTCAGGGAGAAGTGAACTGGTACGCTTAGCTTGAAGGAAATGAAACATACGTGGGCCTGCTTATTGTCTTCAAATATGTGAGTGGCTCTTGAGTGGGAGAAAAATGAATATAGTCGATTTGACTCCACAAGGCAGAGATAGGAAGGCGTATCTCTGTGCAGGAGAGAAGCATTGTCTAACAATGTGCACTGTTCACAAAAGAAATGGGCTGCCCTGTGAGGCAGTGAGTGCCCTGTTCCTGGAGCTATTCAAGCAGGTTGTGGATGGGGGACAGGGGCTGTGCCAACGTCTGTGTACCTCTAACTTCCCTTTCTACCCTAGAGATCTATAATAATAAATTGTATTAGTAGAATTTCTGGCTGCGTGCAGTGGCTCATGCCGGTAATTCCAGCACTTTGGGAGGCTGAAGTGGGCAGATTACAAGGTCAGGAGATCAAGACCATCCTGTCTAACATGGTGAAACCCCTTCATTACTAAAAATACAAAAATAATTAGCTAGGTGTGGTGGCACGCACTGTAATCCCAGCTACTTGGGAGGCTGAGGCAGGAGAATTGCTTGAACCTCGGAGGCGGAGGCTGCAGTGAACTGAGATTGTGTCATTGCACTCCAGCCTGGGCAACAAAGTGAGACTCCGTCTCAAAAAATAAAAAAAAAGAATTCCCATTATTTACTCCACAAATTCTATTCCTTTACTAAGTCATCTCCTCCATGACTTCACCCTGTCCTTCTACACCAGGAAGAGAAATGAGATATGTGCTCAAGAACTTGGGAATAGGCAAGCCCCACACAAATGCTCAGCAACTTCCATGCTGTGACCACTCTTTTCATGAACGATGACATGCTAAATCGTGAAGACTGAAAGCTGTAGCGATTTGTAGGGATAAATGGGAAAATCTCCAGCAACTCTCAACGGAAGCTTCCAAGGAGCTAGCAACGGGTGTGACATGAGAGACAAATGTGGCAGTCCTGAAAGGTGACCAGCCTCATACGTGCTAGCCTAAACAGGAAGATGCTCTGAAGACATGATGCATTTCAGTCCTGTGCCTCCTCACCACACTTGTCACTTTCCACCTCCTTGTATCCGACGCATAAGGAATTCCTGTTGGCAGGAATCAGATCTGGTTCATTGCTAACTCGTGGAGGGCTGCACCTCTTCTCCTTATGGTCCCCCCACCACTTCTTCAAGTCTTGAATCAAAATTAGTGCAGTGAGACCACCCCCTGACCATTCTATTTAAAATTCCATCCTTTACTATCTCCCTATCTTATTCCTCCCAGGATAAGTAAGCCCATCTCCCTTTCTTACTTTTTATGAACTTTCTCTTCCCAGTGAAATACAAACCCCAAGAGAGCAGGAGAATGGTTTGCTGCATTCACTTGTCATACCCAGAGCCTATTACAGTGCCTGGCACGTGGGTGTGATGGAATGAAGCACTAATACATAGCAGGCTGGTGTGGGTGCCAGATGGATGGAAGGAGGGAGGTTCCACACACAGACTCAGGCCCTCAGCCTCCTCTGGAGGGAGGGAGGAGGCACGCTACGGCATGAACCCATCCCTCTGGCAGCCATCCTGCAACAACTCTTCAACTTGCCACTTGTGGAGCGAAAGCCTGAAGTTTAATTCCACCAGATGACTAATGTCCTAATAACTGTGGTAATATGCCACCCTTATAAACTGTCTGTATTCTCCGCCAGGACCTCAAGGAAGCAGAGATAAATACATATATTTAGGGAATATTCACCTTTAAAAGTCAAGGTTCCAAGGGCCAATTCCAAAGTCATAAAGAGCTCATGTGAAAAGTAACCTTTAGTTTGCCATCAAAACTGGTTTCATAAAGGAAGTGTTTTAAATACACATTTGGGAATTTCACAATAGGTTCCTTTGACATCGCTGATCTGTGACATGAGACAGGGTTTGCCAAGATTTTTCCATAAAAAAAGGATATATCGATCTAATTACCTTTTATTCAGGTTCTTTAGTACCCTCGATTTCTGTTCTTGTGGACGTAATACTGCACTTCTACTGTACAAACTTTCTATCATTGGCCAAGCATTCCCTTCCAAACCCCAAGAGCAGGTGTCTGAAACTCAACCCTTACATCAATCAGAAGCAGTATTTCCTTGGCAGACACAGAACCAGCAACTCTTTCTGGATCTCCAGGGCAGTGCCAAGGTTTCTGAGCGTGGTAACCAGCTATAAGCATCTGAAGTTATACAGCTGACTTCTGACGTCATACCTACTCCAGTCTTGACAGTTACACACACTTTCCCACGGGGGAGAAAAGCAAGATCAGAAGAAAAGCCAGGGAGATCCATCTGCATAACTTGGCAGAAAGTGCTACTGGACAAACAGCAGCTTTTCTGGGCCGTCTGTTCTGAGGAAATGAATAATAATATTTATGGCCTAATAAACTGTGTCCTCCGCAAGGAGAGGGGCCATCAGGGTGCCCTGGCAGAGCTGTGGATGGGATGAAAAGACGCAGGAAGCCCGGCATCAACATGGGAAACTCAGCTGTCTCTGAGGGAAACAAGAGCCGGCTTGGTGTTCCCCGTGGAGGCTGGACTTCGGTGGGAGATCCCAGGAGGTGTTCACATCTGCAGCTCACATCCTGCCTTTGGAACAGAACATCATAAACCCTCGAGTCAGGCTCACCTGAGAACCACGAAGTCTCTGGCAGGATGGGGGGCCATGCTGTTCAACACGTACTGGTAGATTTCTGTTTGTCGGTCTAGACTCTCCACAACCTTCCACTGCACAAAGTCCTCGTCCCACAGGTGCCGCTCTCTCAGCACACGGTTCAGGACCACCGAGGGGGGCGCTTCCACCTCCACAGAAGCCTTCCACAGCTTCAGCGGGTTCCCGTCGCCCACCTTGGGAAAGACAACATCAGAAGCTGAAGAGGCTGTCTGGGATATGGGTCCAACAGTTTTTGTTTGGGCTTTTGGTTTTCCTACCATACTTTGCTGGATATTCAAAAACCATCACTGATTATGTAAATTGAAAGTGATGCTACATACCTCAGATTCAACATTTTAGCCCTTAAGCTGAAAAGAATAATAATGTGGCCGGGCGTGGTGGCTCATGCCTATAATCCCAGCACTTTGGGAGGCTCAGGTGGGCAGATCATGAGGTCAGGAGATTGAGACCATTCTGGCCAACATGGTAAAACCCCGTCTCTACCAAAAATACAAAAATTAGCTGGGTGTGGTGGCGCACGCCTGTAATCCCATCTACTCGGGAGGCTGAGGCATGATAATCAGTTGAACCCTGGAGGTGGACACTGCAGTGCGCTGAGATCGTGCTATTGTACTCCAGCCTGGTGACAGAGCGAGACTCAGTCTCAAAAACAAACAAAAAATAATGATGATGATAAAAATGCTAATCCCCAACACGCATGGCCGTTACTATGTGCCAGGCACTGTTCTAAGTCACTGGTTTTTAAATGAGCCTTCTTCCGTCAGAGGTACTCTTACAACATCCATTTTGCGGATGGGAAAACCGAGGCACAGAGGGATGTGTGACTTGCCCAATATTACACAACTCAGGGCTAGAGACAGGACTGGGATCCAGCCATCTGGCTCCATAGTCTGCCCTCTGATTATAGGCAACAGGTCTCTGGACTGAGCCTTTGAGTGGTACATGTGCCTTAACTGTGCCAAGCCCTGTAGACACTGCAGCCATTTTTCAATGCAAGAACAAATGTCTGATTGTTAGCTGTGGCTTTCTGGGGGTGATCTTTCTCCATGCCCTGAGATTACCTTTTTGAAAGCAAGGTCTGTATTGTCGGTGCTGGAGCACGTGACCCATCCCTTGAACTTCTCCTTGGCTTCTTTCTGGAGGCCCTGGATGAGATGGTTCAGGTAAGTGTGGAAAGTTGCCCCACTCTCCTCCAGCTGTGTCCCCAATTCTTTCAGGGTTGGCACGTGGATCTCAGCCTCCACATACGAGTTACGAGACTGGGCCACCAACTCGTGTGGAACCTAGACCAATGGATGCACGAAAGGGCAACACACTCAGCCAGAGAAATGCCGAGATTCAGAGAAAGCAAAGCCATTTCACCCACAACCTGGCCTGGAGCCACAGGCCGAGGGCCCCAGGGCCGGAGATGTTTTTCTAAGATCACTGCCAAGGCCAGGAGGGGCCTTTCTAAAGTCAGGAAATACACATATGTTTCTGAGGCTGTATTTATTATTCAAAACATTGCAATGACTTCCTCTTCATTCTTTCCATTTCCCTTTTATTTTACTTTCAATGTCTTTTTATCCAGTTCGGCAAAATGTGGGCTCAGACTTGACCCACTGTGAATAAGACTTAAAACCGATAGACTTGTGAAGGGAAACATCAAACATGACTTGGGCATAGCTTGACTTTTTCAGCACACTTTTCCCATTGACAAAGGCCAATTCTATCACAGAAGTATGCCACAAGTCTGGTTCACTTACTTCTTTTACATGTCTGTGGCTGTATTCATAAGCTCTCATTAGTTCTTAGCAACAAAGATTGCTCAGTATCATAAACACACTCACACAGACGTTTAACCTAATCAAGTCCCAAGGAGAAATCAAACAGAACATAATTGGCTGGCTGGCCTTGAACCTGACAATGGCAGGTGGTGCAACTGTCTGCAGGAAAACCATCAGCACAGTAACCCCGCATGTCCTTGTCAAAGCCTCAGTTGTATAGCTAGCTCCTCCCCTTTCCTGGAAGCAAAGACCAGAGCTATAGCATATACTATTGTCAGGATAAAATCAGGAACAAACAGAAACTGTAAATGTAGCAACAATCCCGGGTGTCTTATCTAGTTCCAAGAGCTACAAGGGAGGTGGAGGTTCAAGCCTTTTGCTCACCTCAAAAAGTCTGTCGCATTCCATGATCATGTGCGCAAGCCCCTGCGCTGCTGCCAGATTCTCGTTGAGGTCCTTTTGATCTGGCTTCCCGGTGGCATATTTCTTCTGTATGACTCTGGAATTGAATGTGAGTGTGCTAAGAGGCTCCCACACCAAAGAGCTTGTCACAATACCAAACTCATCCCTTTGGCTTTCTGTTTATACCCAGATGCTCTCCAGATCTCATGCTTTTGCGTTTCCAAATAAAAACAATGATCACATATCTTAGATATTCTGAATCCAACTAACAGTCTGACAGTTCACAAGCAAAAATCTTGGAAAACCAAAAGGGCAGGAAGAATGGTGGGGGAAGAAATTAATCTGTTTTTCCAAAGTTTGAAACCCCTTAACTGCAAGCTCCTGTGCTTTGGTCTTAAATATAGCCTTTTAAATTAAAGATCGTAAAATACTACTCTGTGAATGTTTTCCTCCTCACTCATGCAGACGAAACAAAACTCAGTCTTTCTGGATCACAACTGGCATTCTTCAATGCTAGCTCAATAATCCCGTGAATCTGAGCCCTGTGAATTAGGGTGCCTCACAAGATTTTCTGATTATGAAGAGTGTTTGACAAATCCTGAAGTTGCAATGTAGCATGAGACACATTTTATCTATCTATAATCTATTATCGATCTCTATTATCTACCTATCAATCATCAATTTATCTCTCTCATTATCTATCATGTCATCTATTATCTACGTATCATCTATCAATCTATCACCTATCTACCTACCTACCTACCTACCTATCACCTGTCCATCCACATATCCATTCATATCCATCCATCCAACCATCCAACCATCCAGTCTTATGAACTGTGGGGAATGCCTGCTTTGGGATTACTGCTGTTGGGGATAAAGAAACCCACCGTGGAGAGCTTTCTTTCTTCAATAAATTAAGATGAAAGAGGGAGGGGGCCAGACACACTGCCAGGTTCATGGGTGTCATCTGATTCTCTTCCACTAAGTTGACGACATCGTTCAGGAAACACAAGAGCGTCTGCAGAACCTCCCTGTTCTCATCGGCCAGTAGCAGGATGGTGGCCTGCACAGCCTGCAGCCGCTGCTCTTTGGGGACATCTGAGGAAAAGTAGATGCCAGGTCATTGGAGGAGCAGTCACAGAAAGAGCCAGCTGGGAGGCATTGCATAAGCTCTCCCTTCCTCGTGTGAAGGCACACTCAGAGTCGTCATCGACAACCAGAACAGCCGGGAAAGCACAGAGAAGTCAGCAATTGCTGAGGGCTCACAGCGCATGGGAGGCAGAGCTGAGTCCCAACCCTTGTAATTAAACTCTGGGACCGGCAGTCTTGATGGCCAAGCAGGGTTTAGAAAGGGGCACCACCATCCTGGCTTTTTGTATTCTGACAATAAATCTGCTTTCAGAAGGCTTCTGGGTGAAGTTGGCGATTAGGGCTCTGTCAACCTGGTGCCTCTCTTGCCCATCCTCCCTGCCAGACAGCTTGGGATGCCCCTCTCAGGATGCCCAGGGCTCCATAGGACATGGATGGAAAACCACTGTGTTAGGGGAACAGTAGCCTCGCCTTGCCTTTCTCTACCCCTGGCAGCCAGGCCATAATGCTGGTGCCGTGCAATTCACCGGGTGGGCTTAAGCTGGTGGGCTCTCTGACCTCATTCCTAGAGCGCCAGCTTCTCGAGGGGAAGCCTGGCATATCTTCCTTTTTCTTGCAAATCCCTCAGGGCTTGCTTTGCAGGAGCCTGCTATGGACTTCATGTGGAGATCCAACGTCACCTATTCCATAATCTTGGGGTTTATGGAAATTGAGGTTGCGCTTGCAGAAGAAGAACCAGGCTGCCTAAGGTTACAGGGAATGTCTGGCCCTTCTCAATCCCATTCCCCTTGAGGTGGTCCCTGTGGTGCTGGGTGCTGGTTATGTAGGCTTAACTGGGAATCGGTTCTAACAAGATGAGCTGAACGCAATGGAAAATCACACCGAATGAGTGCTAGTGCTGCCTTCTGCTGCTCCCACCCATGCTGTGTTTATCTAGGGATTACTTTAGTCCTCTCATTGCAAAAGACACTGTCGGAAGCTTGCTTCCATCAACACTATTGTCTTTCTTAAAATGCCATGATCTGGAGCGGAGGTCTCTACCCTAGGTTCACTGCACTCTCAGGGGGCAAGGAGGTGTGTTCCTGACAGTCTCCTGAGGTGTGCGAAGAAAATCATTAGCACTCCCACATTTGTTTATCTTTTCTCTCATCCATTAAAAATATTGAGTGGGTGTGTTTTATAATGTGATAGTACATTGCAGTATATCCAGTATATTTATATTACTAAACACAAATACACATTCAGATATTTGCTACTGGCAGGAGTACACGAGAAAAACAAACTCGGAGCTGGCTGTTCGAGAAGGGCTGAGGTGTGACCTTCTGCGTGGGTCCTGGCTGGCCCCAGGGTTTGTGGTCTTGGGGGCTACTGATGCTAGATTCACCCACATTCTCATGCAGGAGGCATGACGTCACGCCCCAAGGCTGGCCACACTCTGGCCCTGATCAGCAAATCCAAGTTCCTGGAAAAACCTGAGGATGCCTTCAGCAGTCTGAAACCCGTCCCCACTCCCACCACGTCCACTGTGTACTGGCACAAGATATACCTGGGGTTCACAGAGAAGAGCCATTTTGTTAAAATTATAGCAAACCCATTTTCTTACTCTTGCTTGGGGTGGAGCAGAAACAGATGGTACTAATGATCTCAAGCTTGTGAGAGGTGTTACAAATTCTGCTTGAGCTGCTGAATTGTTTTAAATATGCTGCTCTACTGTAAGGTGTCCAGTGTGTATACACTGTTTAACTTTAGATTACTAAGCTTCTTTTCCATGCCAACACTTTTTCTCAGCCATCATTTTTGGAGGGTCACCTGTCATCTCTATATGTTGTCTCAATTTCCTTTCTATTCACTTGTTTTTCAATCTTCAAAAATACTTCCTGTCCATCATTATTATTATTTACTAAAAATGCTTGAAAAGGTCAACTATGAATACCTAAATTCAGCATTCGTTTTGGATCCTCTACTCTTTTAGCTTTCTGTTATATGCCATGCTGCTGCAGGTCCTGCCCCTTTCTTGGCTCTAAGGGGATGATTCTAGGTCAGAATTTCTAAGTGTGGATAATTTGCAATCACGTGGGGGTTACTGGCACCTCAAATTCAGAATCCTGTGGATTCTGAACCCTTCTCCCCTCCAATTTCCACATTCTTTCAATCATCAAGCCTTAAAGCCTATGGTTGTCTTTGACCCCTCCATCCTTCTACTTCCTATGGATGGGTAGGATTCAAATATTTTCATTAGTCCTCCAACACTCCAATTTATTTAATCATTTGATGAAAGCCCAAGAAGTGGCATAGCTGAAAACAGAACTTCTCTGGATAGCTGGAGGAGGAACTCTTCCTCTCTGCCACAGTAGCAGTTCGGAAACTTTGACTCTAGGGTCTATGCATGGAAGGTCTTTTCTCCCAACTCCCTGCTGGAAGTTCCTGCAGGTATCCAGAACCTTGGTTAGTGTGCTGACTCCCTGAACCTCCATGCTCGTCCAGTCCAGTGCCTCTTGTGTGCCACTTCCAGATTCCTGGGTCCACGACACAGTGCTGTGGACTCTCTCCCTGCAGCAGATACAAGGCTGGCTACCTACTCAACTCAATGCCCATTTTTCCCTTCTTCCTCATTAAGAAAACACATGTTCTGCTCAGGTGTGAGCTGCTTTATACTTACGGAAATGGGTCACCACCTCAGACCCAGGGATGAACCATGTGTGCCTAAACCAAAACTGGCAATCCAGGTCTCCTTTCCACTATTGGGTTTAGGGGGGAAATTGTAAACCACTTCTGCCTGAGGGGACCAACAAAAATGCTAAGAGCTTCTGCAAGATGTATGTCCCTGATAAAACCAGACACATGGCCAAGGAGAAGCGCTGTCACTCTCTTCTTGCCTTGGAATGTGATTTTGTGAAGATGTGATACTTATAAGTTGTGACAATCATATTGTGACATTAAAGGCAAAGCTAAGAGAAGCTGACGTTAGCCCTGGCATCACTGAGCTGCGGGATACCCAACTCTGGAATTATGTGAGATAATAAAATGTGCTTATTGTATAAACGACTGTTCATTGGATATTTGGTTCTGTCTTTACAGCTGAGGGCATTGTAACTGGCAAGTCCCTCAACAGCACCTGAGGGTTCCCCAATACTTAATCAATCAAGCATAAGCTGCTTGCCCTAATACTCAATGTCCCTCCAATGTATGGCTCCAGCGCTGTTTTTCAGTGTCATTTGGTGTCACTCTGTACGTTTGCCATACATGCAAGCCAGATGAATACTCTGGGCTCTCCCGACTTCTGCTTATGCTGTCTGCAGAGCAAGTACCCAGAATGTGTTCCTCACGGCTCAGCCTTCAGTTGTCACTTCCTCCATGAAGCCCTCATTCTTCATCTCTCCCTCCTTGAACTTTTCTTTGTAACCTTTCTATGGAACTTCTCCAGCTTAGTTGTGTTGGAGTTATTTATGTTCATGCCTCATCTCCCTTAGTTGTAAGATCCTTAAGAGAGCGAGTCTCCCATACATATGCTCCGCCATGCTCAGCATGGTGCACGGTACAGAAGCCACGCTCTATAAATGTTTGTTCAGCTAAAGCAAAGCCTGCTTTGATCTGGCTTCTTGCTTGTGACTCAGAAAGGGCCAAAGACATTTATTTCTTGAAAGTAATGTGGTCTTAGCCTGAGACTAGTATCCAACTTAACCCAAGAACTGATTAAATGTAAAGACTCATATCTGATACTTCCAAACCATAAGGGAGGCTTAATTGAAAATGCAGTTCGAACTCTCACAGCAACATCAAGAACTCCCTGTTTGGGCTCTAGCAACTTGAATCATTAATTTAACTTAACCTGCTCACTTTGAAAAACTAATATTTACTTAGTGGGTTGCCACCTTAATCTGTTTTCACAAGTGGTGCTGATTACAATCCTTCCTGAGTTTGCAGTATCATGGACTCCTTAACACATTTGTACAGAATTCTCTATAGCATGGATATTCTTCAAATTGGATCAAGTCCATAGCAAGGTCCATTTCAGGCATATTTTGCTGAAGACTCAAAACTCAGAGTCCTTGGGCCAAATGGCTTTCTTTCCTCCATGAACTGGGATCTGGTCATCAAAATAATTCATAACATTAACACTGTCATATCTAGCAAAGAGTCACATGTTTAATTTCCTTTTTTTGAGATGGAGTCGCTGTCACTCAGGCTAGAGTGCACTGGCGTGATCTCTGCTCACTGCAACCTCCACCTCTTGGGTTCAAGTGATTCTCCTGTCTCAGCCTCCTGAGTAGCTGGGATTTCAAGCACCATGCCCGGCTAATTTTTGTATTTTTTAGTAGAGGCGGGGTTTTACCATGTTGGCCAAGTGAGTCTTGAACTCATGACCTCAGACAATCTGACCGTCTTGGCCCCTAAAGTGCCGGGATTATAGGCGTGAGCTACCACGCCAGGCCCGTGTTTATTTCTAACATTCCCATTGCGACCACCTGTAGCAGGATATGCTTCTTAATCAACAATCGTTATTTCCAGTGATTAATTACACAGGTTTTGCTGAGAATTTAACATCATTAAAAAAATTCCAAGTGAAAATATAAACCAGTTTATTTAAGCTTAAGCCTTGATTTGGTTTGCTTACTTTTCACCCATGAAAATACATTGTGCTAAAATACATTTCCATTTATTTCTAGTCATTTTAATTCATGTCACTTTGAATTTCCCATATCCCAAAGAAATTCTTCCTTTTAAAAAAATTAAAGAAGTTTTGATAAATACCTATATACCAAACAACTTCGATTGTGTCCCTTTTTCATTTTAAATTTTTGTAAATGTATTGAAAGTTTGTTTTAGATCTTACACAAAACTCTATTGAGAAGGAATATTTTGAGGTCAAAAAGGTATTTTTAAATGCATAAAGAAATGGCCTGCGGATTTCCAAATCAAACTTTGAGCAAAAGTTACTTCCGGAGAGGAGAGCAGTATTATATACATATTTATGGATTCATATATTATTCATATAATTCAAACTCAATCTATAGGAAATTGTTTTTAGTAAAGTGGAAGGATCCTCACGAGAAACACCAAGCTCATTATTTCCACTTACACTGATAGATGTGGAGGAAGGTCTCGCTGAGCTTGTTGGTGAAAAGAGGCTCAGGGAGGTCCCTGAAGAACTGTTTCACCATATCCGCCACGTCATAAGCAGACTGGTCTTCATAGCTGACGTTCTCAGGGAAGTTCTCATTCATTTGGCGTAGGGCATGGATTCGAGACTTCACTCCCGACTTGCGAAAAAGACCCACCTGAAACAAGCCATAGGGTGTCAGCCAGGCCACGCCTGGGTGTGAGGAGGAGGAGGAGGCATGGGATGGGAACTGGATGAGCTGGAATTGCCTCTCAATTAGCACATGCTGAACTACCAATGTAGCGACTTTAGGCAGTAGATGAACAGTGTCTTCCTCTCCCATGAGATGAAGGTAAGAACAAAACCTCACCTCACAGGATGACTGTGGAGAGTAAGTGAGGAAACAGATGTGCATGCACTTTGTGACCTGTTACATCTTATCACACTGCAGATGTTACCATTTTACTCATTTATTCAACAAGTAACTGCTGTGTATCAGGCATGCTTGGAGTTCCTAGGTGTCATTAGTGAGCAGAGCAGATAAAATTCCCTACCCTCCGGCCGGGCGCGGTGGCTCAAGCCTGTAATCCCAGTACTTTGGGAGGGCAAGACGGGTGGATCACGAGGTCAAGAGATCGAGACCATCCTGGTCAACATGGTGAAACGCCGTCTCTACTAAAAATACAAAAAATTAGCTGGGCATGGTGGCGCGTGCCTGTAATCCCAGCTACTCGGGAGGCTGAGGCAGGAGAATTGCCTGAACCCAGGAGGCGGAGGTTGCGGTGAGCCGAGATCGCGCCATTGCACTCCAGCCTGGGTAACAAGAGTGAAACTCCGTCTCAAAAAAAAAAAAAAAAAATCCCTAGCCTCTAGGGTTTACATTGCTATGGCGTTTTTGAGAAAGTTTGGTCAATGGGAGGTTTGGTGGAAACAATGTGGGTGATGAATGAAAGGCTCCCAGATAAACCGCCATATCCAGTGCCCCTGCAGGGGAAGAGTTTTATGAGCAGTATGTTCATGAAACAGAATAATATCGTAAGTACATATTTTGATTTAAGGGATTTATTTACTTTTCCAGCTTTGAAATTCTTGGCACTTACTTTTCTACCTGTTTGTTTTTATGCTATAAACTACGGCTCTAAGTGAGACTGATTCCTGGGTGGCTTTTTTCTCGGACCTCAGGATACTGCCATATCATGACTTTTTATCTTGGAGCCTAGACTCCTCCCCGGCTTGTTGAGTAAACAGGAGCATTAAGGCATCAAGAACAGAGTGGCCCTAAGGAGAATGAGTGAGGGAGGGCAAAGCCCCTCAAGAATGAAGATCCTGCAATGGTTGGGCACGTTAAGCTCCAGGCAGGCCCCCTAGAGGAACTTCCTTTTGCTGGACTTAGCCTCTATTCAGAAAGGAACTGACCGACCTTTCTGGGAGCCCTGGCTTACAGTGAAATAATATGTCTGCTATATTTTTAAATGCCTATAGGGAGTTGATTTTCTTCTATCCTCAATTTCCATAGCTCTCATTCCCCAGTAGCTCACGGGTTGGCCCGCTTCTGCAAAGCAAGGTAGAACCTTCCTGAGTGGCTGGACAGGTGGACAGTGGCCATTCGCATCAGCCACTGCTCTTTCTCCCTATACCTGGAAGAATGCCTGATATAGGTCATCTTACTGTGTATCAGGCCAACCTCCACCCAGGTTGGGGTATCTGACAAAGGCTTTCTTGATTGCTGCAACGAATGGAGAGCAGCTCTCATTCTTCCAAACTGCAGTAACAGCAAAAGAAGAATTCCAAGCCATTAGAGCATACTCAGGTTTCTGTATATGTCAACTGAATGGATCGCAGGGGAAATTACACACTGCTACTTTTTGTGGTCATAAAAACAGAATTCTTAGTCATATTTCCTTGCATTCCAAGGCTTATCACTCTAATCCCACACATCAGGATATTCAGGCTGATAATATTGTCACTTAAAATACGAATTACTTTCTTTTTTATTTGTAAAGTTTGGAGTGTCTGGAAAATGCACAATTTTGTTATACTTGGATGACTTGCCACAAAGAATCTAAACAACATTCATCTTCCTTCAACTGGCAACGACTCCAAATTTCATCATATGGCATGGAAAGAAAGTATATACTGTCAAAACAACAACAAAAAAAGAAAATTTCAAGATGTCAAGGGAGTGATTATTGGGGGGAGATCCATCTTGGACACGTTTACATCTTCTGTTTTTCTGATTCTGGAAGGAGGCCCAGGATGGTGCATACCACAGGGCTGTGCTGCACGAGAGTTCTCAGAATCGGGATGCCCTGAGGGTAATTACTTCGGTGTGACTCACAAATATTTATCCTCACATGGCTAGGTATTATTCCATTTGAGAAGAATTCCTATTTTTTCTTAACAGCACAGGAATATTGACCAGGATCTACAAAAAGAAGAAAGCAGACAGTGTTTCTGTTTAAATTGTTGAGCACGTTCCTTTCATCCACCGTGTCCTGAGGGCTGTTTCTGGCCACACTCATGTGCGTGCGCACACACATCCCAGAGATGCTATCTTCATATTGTTTGGTTTCCAAGCTTCTTTCTTGTTTCGGCAAATACTGTTATTTTAATTGTTTTAGACATGTCTGGGGCTCTCCAGCTGCAGGCTCTGAGCTGATTGCTCTGACTGAGATCTCAGGATTTCCAGAGAGTTGTCAGGGATTTATTTGGGCTGCCTCAAATTCTGACAATAACCTTCCTGCCCTGCCCTTGTCTTCTAGGGGACATGGGAAATACAGACATATATATATATATATGTATACATACATACATATTTTTCTTTCTGTGGATTTCTGTTGGAAGTATAGCAGGAAAATTTTCTTTCATAAACCTAATAAAGAAAAGGTGGTCTCAAGTCAGATTCTGGATGTAGTAGCTGAAGATGGCAAAAGGGAAAGATGGAAACAACCCATCTTCAAAGCTTTTGATGAACTGATGATTAAGTTAACCCTGGAACCATTCTATTTCCTGACCTTTCTCTTTTTTTTTTTTTTTTTTTGAGAAGGCGTCTCACTCTTGTCATCCAGGCTGGTGTGCAGTGGCACGATCTCACCACAAGCTCTGCCTCCAGGGTCAAGTGATTTTCCTGCCTTAGTCTGCTAAGTAGGTGGGATTACAGGTCTTGCCACCACACCCTGTTAATTTCTGTATTTTTTAGTAGAGACAGGGTTTCACCACATTGGCCCGGCTGGTCTTGAACTCCTGATCTTAAGTGATCCACCCACCTCGGCCTCCCAAAGTGCTAGCATTACAGGTGTGAGCCACCATGCCTGGCCTATTTCCTGGCTTTTTGTTTGTGTTTTGTGAGACCATGAATTTCCTGTCATTTAAGCCATTGTGGGATGGGGCTTCTAGTGGTTGCTGTGAAAAGCCCGGAGGTGAGTAGAAGATAGTCTTTCTAAGGCACAGAGAAATCTTGAGACCAGAGGATAGCTCCCCTCTCGATCATCACAGAACAACACAGTGATGGCAACCAGTGGTTTCCAATAATCATTTCTCCTTCAGAAAGTTTTACCTGGGCACAGTGGCTCACACCTGTAATCCCAGCACTTTGGGAGGCCAAGGTGGGCGGCGGGGGTGCGGGACACCTGATCTCAGGAGTTTGAGATTAGCCTGACCAACATGGCAAAACCCCATCTCTACTAAAAAATACAAAATACAGGCCGGGCCCAGTGGCTCACGCCTGTAATCCCAGCACTTTGGGAGGCCGAGGCGGGTGGATCACGAGGTCAAGAGAGCGAGACCATCCTGGTCAACATGGCGAAACCCCGTCTCTACTAAAAATACAAAAAATTAGCTGGGCATGGTGGCGCGTGCCTGTAATCCCAGCTACTCAGGAGGCTGAAGCAGGAGAATTGCCTGAACCCAGGAGGTGGAGGTTGCGGTGAGCCGAGATCATGCCATTGCACTCCAGCCTGGGTAACAAGAGCGAAACTCCAGCTCAAAAAAAAAAAAAAAAATACAAAATACAAAATTAGCTGGGCATGGTGGTGGGTACCTGTAATCCCAGCTACTGGTGAGGCCGAGTTGGGAGAATCTCTTGAACCTGGGAGGTGGAGGTTGCAGTGAGCCTGGGCGACAGAGCCAGACTCCCATCTCAAAAAAAAAAAAAAAGGTTCCAAAGCAAGGATTGATCTGAATTTTTGACAGGAGATTGTTTTCCACATTAAAAAAATAGAGAACCGAAGAAACCCATTGTTCATCCTTCTTCCCCTTCTTCTTTCTTCCAGGCTGGAGTGCAGTGGAATGATCTCAGTTCACTGCATCTTCCACCTACTGGGTTCAAGTGATTCTCCCACCTCAGCCTCCCGAGTAGCTAGGATTACAGGTGCGCTCCACCACGCCCAGCTAATTTTTGTATTTTTTTAGTAGAGATGGGGTTTCACCAATGTTGGCCAGTCTGATCTTGAACTCCTGACCTCAAGTGATCTGCCTGCCTCAGCCTCCCAAAGTGTTGGGATTACAGGCATGAGCCACCACACCTGCCCCATTGCTCATCCTTCTAATCACAGCAGATGGACAGGCAACAGCCCCAGCTCCCTCAGCTTCCTTATGAGGAAGATCGCAGGAGGGAATAATGTTTTTCTTTCGCCTTTGTGTCTGTCACCCATGGCTGGCAGCCTGGGCAGTCACACAGGGTCTCATACACTTGGTTTAATGCTCTGCTGTCTTGGTTTTGAAATTCTCAATGATTTATGAACAAGGGATCTCACATTTTCTCTTTCCACTGGTCCCATCAATGACATAATAGGTCCTGCTGTCATCTACTGTTAAAGCTCAGCCCAGACACCCTGTTGAGAAAGGGGAGGATGATCATCAGCAATGCAGAGTTCATTTTATAAGCATCTTTCTTGTATGTGATCTCTTGTTCCTTTTGAAGATAAAAGGGTGAGTGATGAGCGTCCCCTTGGTCTAGTTTTCCTGTTACCTCTCTCTTGTCTTTCACCTAAAAACCTAGCTATGAAAAAGCGAGGAATCAGCTGGGCATGGTGGCTCAGGACTGTAATCCCAGCACTTAGGGAGGCTGAGACAGGTGGATCACCTGAGGTCAGGAGTTCGAGACCAGGCTACCCAACATGGTGAAACCCCATTTCTACTAAAAATACAAAAATTATCTGGGTGTGGTGGTGCTCACCCATAATCCCAGCTGCTCGGGAGGCTGAGACAGGAGAATCACTTGAACCCGGGAGAAGTTTGCAGTAAGCCAAGATGGGGCCACTGCATTCCAGCTGGGTGACAGAGCAAGACTACGTCTCAAACAAAAAAAAAAAAAAAAAGAAAAGAAAAAAGCGAGGACTCAAGGATAATTTCCCTGGATAGCCCCAGAGCACTGCTCACTTTATCTGCGGCAGGCAACAGGCAAAGTGACAAACAGGCAGTGGGGTGGGGACCCTAGTACTGAGCACTAAGAGTCTTCCCAGCATAATTAGGCTTTTAAAACTCACTGCTCTATTAGGAGGAGAGGCTGAGCATGAGTGCTGCATTAGAATTCAAATTCCATCTGAATAATATTAAATCTCCCTCTTGGCATCCTGTTTATGCTAATCTTTCTCAGGACTTAATGATGTTTATCAGGACTCCCATTTCCTCTTCTTTAGAAATGTGCTCAGCTAATGAAGGAAGGTTGGTTTTCTTCAGAAAGAGACAGATTCATCAGAAGAGCATGCGGCAGATTCTTATTTTGAGCATTGCAGGTTTAGCCTCTCACTGCAGTGACTTCATATTCATCAGGAGCCAGGTATAACCTATCCTTCTGTGCACAGTTGATTTAGGGCAGAAATAAAAGCTCAGACAACAAAGCAAGGCTCCTCTCACACACTGCTACGTCTGAATACAAATGGTTCATAATTGAAGGCTAAGCTTCCTCATCTCACCCACAGCCAGCTGCAAGGGCAAACATGAACACTGTTGCATCAGAGAAACCGCTGTGCATGCGGAGTGTGGAAGGCAAAAGGCGGGCGATGTTGCAGACTCTGTGGGACCCGGGTCAGCGGCAGTGAGTGCTTACGTGCGGGCTGAGTGCTTAGCATGGGAGAAGGGCTGGTGCACTGCAGGAAGCCTCCTCCTTGAGACTTAGGGCAAAGTCTTGGGAGGGTATGAGGTGGTGCTTCCTATTAAAATGGGCATAGACGTGCGATATTTGTGGATGTCATGGTCTTCTGCAAATTTGAGGCTGAGAGTTCAAGGCCTTATGTGGACTGGAATGTTTTCAATTCCAAGGAGGTGCTGCTCTCCTTCCTTTTCACTCTTTCCCCCCTTGCTTTTCTTATTGATTCACTTTTACCGGCTCTTGCTTGCTCTGAAATCTCTGGAACAGCCAGGTTTTGATTCCTTATGTTTCTCTCGTTCTCCCCATTTCCTTCCCATTACCACCTTCCTTTTTCACAGGAGCCAGAGGGGTGGCCTCTGTGTGCTTTCCACACCATGTGACAAGGAAAGGGAGGGACGTTTTGAGGTTGGAAGCCCTGCCAGGACTGTCTTATAAGGTGGTGACTGGCTGTGGTGAAAGTCTCTTCGACGTCTTATAGATTCTCCCATGTGACTGATGCAAGAGACGTGTGGCTCTATTCATTTTTATTACATTTAGAATCAGTATTTATGTCTTGAAATGAGTCTTCTGCCTCCAGGGCTTTTCCGGCACACTGTTTTCCATCTTGCCATATTCTCCCAGATTTAAAAAACCGAGCTGAGATGGACACAGGGGAGGAAGAGGTTTTGGTGCCCTGCGTCTTTCTCTGTCTTGATATGACTTTTGCTTCCAAAGGGAGACTGGCCCCACTAACAGCAGTGATAATGGCACTACACATTATTCAGAAGCTGCAGGGGGCAGGAATGGTTTATAGTCTACACTAAATACTCTGTGCTGAATGGAATAGTGGAATTACAATTCATTTATTTATACCCGCTCTTGTTCAAGAAATAATTCAAGGGGATTTACAGTAATCTATAAAATATAATAAGATACAATTAAATTAAAGATAAAAGATAAGAAAATTACAGCAAAAGGAAAACAAAGACAGAAAAGGGTGGATGAAACTAGGAATAAGGTTGATGTGTAAAATTCATGCCAAAAAATTACATGTATTTACTAGAGACAGAACACCTATTTGGCTCCGGGCTTTCTAGCAGCCATTACAGTGAAGAAAAGACACCCACAGGAATGAGTTTGATGTGCACAGTATTAAAAAACAGACCAGTTGTCCAAAAGAAACACAATGCTTTCAGGTGCTCAGCCAGAGAAGGAAGTTTTTTTCTTCCGTCTCACAGAAAGCACGTTACATGACTTAATGACCAACATCACCTACAAAATCCTGACAGTGAATTAATCCATCAGGGAGTTGTATAGGGCTGCTCCTCAGTGCTAGAGATGGCATCACCCCAAAGTCCACTGGGGAAAAGCAATTATAGTGGGCAGCAGTAGAGTGCAGTGGTTAGGAACTTGGACTCCGGAGTTAGATTTGCGAGCAAGTGTTGGCTCCGCCACAGTGACCCGGGGAAAATACCATTCAAGGGTGGATATGGGAATAAATGAGGCAATTAATGCAAACACTTAGTACAATTTCTTGAAACATGCCAGGTGGTCAAGTGAGGTTATTTTTGTTGAACTAATGACACAGATAGGCTGCACTTCCTTTAGCCATTCCTGAACACTGTTTTCAATAGAGCTCTTGCTGATAAGCAAGCATTAGCTGGCCACGCTTTTGGAGTGAAATATTCTCTGTGCTCGGTACAGGGCAAAGCCCAAGTCTCTAAGAGCCCTGAGAAGGAGGTGGTTTGATACATACCTTACAGGAATTGAGATGCTTGGGAAAAACACGTCTCTGAACAAAACACAGTCTTGGGTCTGCACCCACAAACCAACAACAAACGTACAATTGAGGCCACAAATTCTATGCCAAGTGATGTGGTGCCATACTTCTAATTGGAGTAGAGACTAGAGTGGGTTTTCCCAAATATTCACCAGAGCCTACCTCTCTAAACATTTTTCTCAGTAAAACACCTTTAGAACACGATCTTGGAATAATGTGTATTCTTAGTAAAACCTCTACGAAAATTAAAATGCATGTGTAAGTAACCAGATTCACTGGCTGACTACTAGGATGTGATTCACAAGTCAATTCATGTTGGAGCATCTGCCAAAGGAGAGAACCCTTGAAAAGTAGCCTGTCACCCTGATTTCTGGGGAATAAGAGGCTGTTAAGTACATTTCTCAAAACTAAATGGCCATCATCACAACAATGACAGCAGCCATCCCACTCCGTGATGACATCCAAATATAGAAAAATGTTATGTGTAGATTCTTTAAATTAAAAGTGAGGAGGAACAAAGGTGCTCACACATTCAGTTCAATCAAAGATGACTTCAAATGGAAAAGTTACTTCTATTTTTCTGCACTGAAAATTGATAGCTGATTTACCAAGAGACCAGCCTGATTCTAAGCATGGTCTCAGTATCAGAGTCTCTACAAGCATCACCAGCCAGGATCTTTGAGTTCATGTAGCTGAGCTCATTCCTGCCCATAAGCCCAAGGTCCTGGGTAAATCAATAAAAGGTACAAATAATCTTAGGTTGGTATAGATTCTCTGCATGACATAAAAAATTATGATAAACAGAGACTGTCACAGAATAGCTGCCTGGAAATATACCCACTATTCTGGGCTGCAATTTATTAATTAACACAACTTTTATTTTGGACAGAATGTCTAAGAAGCTAATGGGTATTAATTGGGAGGAGCAAAGGCTTTGCTTTATAAACTACAGGATGGATTGCACTCTGGACTTGATCACAGCCCACCATCATGGAGGCAGAAATCGATCTCTGAATATTTTGGGTAGCTTGAGTTTTGAATCAACTCTATAAAATGAGGGGACATTTGACTTAGCTGATACTTTCATTCATATTTTGCTTGGACATTTTTAAAAGATGTAAATAAATCTATCTTTGGTTTAAGTTTTCCTGGTCATGACGCTGCTTCAAAAGAAAAAAAAAGAACCAATAAAAGGAGGCATAAAAAACCTAATTCTTTTGCAAAAATAATATAACAGAGATAAAAGAACGCTGTGAAGTCAATGGCGGCACGGAAACAATAGTTAAACAGGAAATGCAGTACACAGCTTAACTCCAGGTTTTAGGGATTGCAAATGAGGCATCGCAGGAACGACTGTTAACATCAACTTTCCGCAGTCACTCCAGGTCAGCATGTAAGTTGCCAATGAGGAACCATCCTCAAATAGGATGTAGCTTGTTCAAGTTAAACATCGCCACATAGAGGTCACAATGGCTTTTAGTTTCGGTGAGGCCTATCTTGCCTGATACTGGGCAGATCTGACTCAGTCTGGCATCGCATCAATCCAATCCCATGGTGGGGGGTGGGTTACAGCCCTACCTGATCGAGGCAGTTGCTGCGTAGATATCTCAGTGCTTGCTGAATACTCTGAGGCAGGGGCTGTCCCGTTCTTTGGACGTGGACTATGAGAGGAACGCCAAAGACAGCCTTGTCTTTGTAGTCGGGAACTTTCATCCTCTTCATGAACTTTGGAACTGACCTAGAATTTACAGAAACCAGGTCATGCAAGCCTCCTGGGGCATACTGTGGGGAGAGGCGCTGGAAGCAAGCATGAGGGAAGCCAAGCTTTGGCTGGAAGACCCAACAGATGCGGGGTGAATTCGGAATTCTGTCTGCATTCATCACAGGACCCGCGTGCTCTGTGCGGCCTCTGCCTGCATGCTATCTCTAACTACTAAACAGCATGAGTCATGTGAGCAGAATGTATCTGTAGCTCTGTTTTCAGGTCAAGTGGATAACTTTCCAATCTAATTCTGATAGACTCGTCTCTCAAGTGCTGAACACTTAAAAGTCCCCAACAAATCAAAACAAATTTAAAAATTACAAGAGGAAGAAGAAATCTGGCTGGGGTTGGAGGAAAAGGAAGAGAGAAAAGAAGAAGAACATTTCTTGGCTCTGTCCTCACTTTTCTAGAGCCAGCTGCAGTTTTTAAAGGCCATTTTAATACACAAGCATATATTGATTTGACCATGCAGTTTATAACCTTCTAAACTATTTTATAAAAGCACCATTGATTTTTTAAAAATATAAAACACAGGACAATTACTGACACATTTTGTATGATTTCAAATCCAGCAAATCATCTATAATAGGTCTGCATTCGAGCTCTAACATATGCTTCTGTCAATTCCTTATTACAAGGTTTACTGCATATTCTTGTTTCTATTTGCCAATGAAATAAAAGCAGAAATGTACTTGAAGAATTAAATGCTCTTTGAATGAATCAATGCTCCAAGTGGTGAGCTTTGCATCAGACCAGAAGGAACAAGTGACAGCTGTTTCTGTACAAACTGCCAGGATTATTTTATGGCAAGTTTATTTTTATTTCCTCTGTTCACAATTAATCACCCTTTACTTGCCTTTTTTTCTTTCTCGGAGCCCAACTGCCTTCCCTGGAAACCAAGTGAGCGCTACAAATAGAGCAACGTTTCCTGTGAGCTCCAGCGCCTCAGGGCTACAGCCGAGCTCATGCCTTACATCCAGGAGATTGTCAGTGAAGGCAATGAATGGGTTCTTCAGAAATCACAAAGTAAACATGGGAGCCCTGCAATCACACACTTAGCTCTAGAGCCCGCAATGTCCTCCTGGCGAACGTGCTACGCACCATGTCCAGCCGTGCTTGTTGGACATGGAGTGCTTCTCCATGATGGCCGTGAGGCGGAGCAGCGAGAAGCGCTGGAGCAGGCTCAGCTGGCCGGCTGTCTGGCTGCTGATGTGGGGCGATGCTGGGGCTGGCCGGGGCTGGTGAGACAGCTGGAAACTGTTCCATCGGAGTCGCCTTTACCAGAGAGACCATCAGAGAAGCCAGTCACAAAGCGGACTTGGTGGCAGGAAACACGGACATCACCAATGTATACACAGCTAATCAAGATAGTGTCCGAGCCAAGAAAACCACAAAGCGAATGGAACGGAAGACACTAGTGTGCAGAATAAACATAGGACATGATTGTTCCAAGTCGGATAAAGCTGGAAAAAGTCTTATCCATTTTATTAGGAGGTTTAAATAAGTGATAGAAGAAAGGTTACGTTTGCTTATTCCCAATTTGTTCCCAAAGTGTTGAGAGCAGCTGAGACAGTGTGTGTGTGTGTGTGTGTGTGTGTGTGTGTGTGAGAGAGAGAGAGAGAGAGAGAGAGAAACAAAGAAAGAGCAAAGAGAAACAGGGAGATGTAGACAGAAGCAAAGAAAGCCAACAGAGAGATAGAAAAGAGAGAGACATATAGAGGGAGAGACAGAGAGATGGGACAGAAAGAGACAGAGACAGAGGCAGAGGATGGATAGATAGAGATAGAAAGATAAAGAGAGAGAAAGAGACAGAGAGGCAGAGACAGAGAGAGAGAGGAAGGACAGAGATGAGAGACAGATAGAACGATATAGAAAAAGAGAAAAATAGAGATATAGACAGGGAGCAAGGAACACACAGAGAAAGTGAGCGAGAGAGAGAGAGAGAGAGAGAGAGAGTGAGAGAGAGTCAGGGAGAGCTGTGAAATGTCTGGGGCTGTCGAATATTTTCTCACTGTCTTCCATGTCTCAACACATTCACTCTTGCTCAGTATGGAGATGGAGCCTGAAGATGAGCAGCACAGACCGTGACATATCACTGAGCCCCAAGACACACCCCTGCCTCAACCAGAAACCCAGCAGCACACAACAGTGGTATTGTTTCCACTAGTTTGGGCCTCCCAGGGTCATTTTTCTAGGGTGCTCCTGAAACGGTCTTTGTAAGTCAGCTTTCATGAACTTTGTAGTTGGCCCTTTAAAGCAAAAACAAACTCACAGTGGACACATCTTAGACCTCAGAAATTTCTTTTAGGAGCAAAAAAAAAAAAAAGTATAAAATATGGGGAAGACACATATTGATGAATGTATCACAGGAAGGTCAGGGGAAGAGGCTATGCCTGGGACTGGGTCTTGGTTATCCAGGATTCCCTGCACTTGGTGCCTGGTATAATGCTTTGCATGTAAGAAGCTCAAAATATTTTTTTGGATAAAACTAAGATCAAAATAAAGGATAGGCAGAAAATGAATATAAGTTAACATGGATTCAATCACCATGATGTCTGCACAGAAATCATACTTCTGTTCAAATAATTCCTAATCACATAATCACTTAGAGTCAGGCATTTAGTAAACACTCTGTATGTTTGTTAAAAAAAATAAACAGAACACAATTACTAGGAAATGGATGAAAAATCATTTCCCAAGTGCATGCCACCTACCTGTTTGGCCTGGTCAGAGAGGCCCCTACACCAGAATCCCTCCTGTCTCTGACCCCTGGAGCCTCAGATTCATTAAGAGATGTTACATCTCTTTCCACATCACTGGGTGTTGTCCGACCTTCTGAGACAGAGTTACCTTCAAAATCTAAGGTGATCTGATTAGGAGGCGGAAAGGGGGATAGGCCAGGTTCCCCAACCAACGTATCACGAGTTTGTAGTTCAGGCAAGACATCTTTGGACCAGTCATCCACTACCTCCCGGATCCCATTGACATGCTGCAGAATGTCATCCAAGTGAGGGAGGAAGTCATCTTTCTCCAAGTCCAAAAGATCTCCTGTGCTGGCATACAGATGGGAGTCAGGGACGTTGTCATAGATACTGACTCGGCTGGCTCTGTGGCAGGATGCCATGAGCCTGGGCTCCCTGGCACCAGGAACTTGCTGTCTGCCCAGGGAGATGCTACCGGTCCTCCAGTTAACCCCATTGCTACTGTCTGTGGGAGAGAGGCTTTCAATAGAAAGAGCCTTGGGGAATGTTCCTGGTTTGTGATCCTTGGGAATATGCACCACCAAGTTCTCTTGGGAGTGAAACTCATGCGTATGGCTTTGGTCCCCTGCATCCTGCAGTGCTGTCCCCGCCAGCACATCCAGGTCCTCCAAGTACATGCCCCCGCGCTTGTTGGCCTTGTGGCACTTGCGTTCCTTCAGGCAGGGTGTGCTCACCCCGCTGCTGCTGTGCTCTGAGGGGCTGCTCTCTCCACTCGACTTGCCAGAGCATGGGAGCCCCTTTCTGCAGGCAGCTGGCGGTGAATTCTGGAGATCTCCATTTGGTATCTGGATGCACTGCATGGCCTTAAAGGACTCTGGCTCCTGCTGCAACACGGGCCCGCTGATCACCAGGCCACCTGTCCGCCCTGACCCCTTATGCCTCCCGTGGGTTCCCTTTCCTCGGAGTGTTTCCATGCGTTTCAAAAATGATTTGGCCCTGGCCCTGGTGGGCTTCTCATTCTTGGGGTGGAAGGGGTGGCTGAGGACGTCTCTGGGGGACTGCGGGAGACTGCTGCTGACCAGTGGGGCATCCAGCATGACCGGGCTGTCGGTATGGCACTGGCCCGGCTGGCTGCGGCTGTCACTGCCCCCGCTGCTTTCACTGTGAATGGAGCAGACCTCAGGCTCGCTCAGGTCTGTGAGGACGCTCTCACTGCTGGTCGTGTTCCTCATCCCCATGCCTCCCGGTGACCCATTTCTGTCTCCTCGAGGGAGCAGGGTGTAGAGGTCGTCCACACGAGACCACCTGCGACTGGTTCTCTGGAAAGTCCATTTGTTGCTGATACAAAGATCTTCCTCATCGGAGTCGTCACCCTGCGGAACACCAAGGAAGATGCTCGTTAGCAGACAGCGTGGCTGAGGCAGGAACACTGGGCATGCTGAGTGCAGCCCTGTGCGGTCCTCCACCTCCCTTCCCTCTGTCCTCCCAGGCACAGGTGTGTGGGCTGCGTGGGCACTACTAAGCTGTCCTTCCATCATTTTCACTGTCTTGAACATACCCATCCTCCCGGTGGCCAGAGGACTCTTCTTAACTTGCCAAACTTCCTTCCTTCCTTCCCATTTTTATAGCGGTGCTGAATGCTTCCTTCCTTCCTCTCTAAGTTTTCCCTGACTGATTACAAAGAGGGTATAATTACATCAGACTAGACGGTCTAAATATAAGGCACCTGCAGTCTTCTTTTTCACACAGAAATTCAACTCTGCCGCAAAAGGCACTTCCTTCTTTCCAGAAACCTCTTCACTGAGCCCCAGGGACCATATTTCCAGTTTGCCTCTTCTGAAACTCAGCGTCGGTGTATCTCAAGGCTAACACTCCCTATTTTAGACCCCTGCACTTGATTCTTACTGTGCATTTCCTGGATAAGGTAACAGCAAAATGACCCACCGAATTTCTTAAAGTAGGAAGGAGAGAGCCATTCTGGAGACCACTATTTGAAGCATCCAATGCGGCTGCTCTGCTTGAGCAGTCCCTTTTCTGCTGAATGCGAGTTCGAACGCCGCTGGCAGAGCGCACACCTCTGTGTGGCCGCGGTGGGTCCCCACAGCTTGGCCCTGTCTTACACTCAGCGCCTCACAGATTGCCTCTAGCTGTCTTGTTTCTGCCTGAATTTGCAGCCCCTGAGAGAGGAGTGTCTGCATTCCCTGAGGCTGGAGATGGCCTTGTTTAGCTTTGCATAGCCTTGACCTAGAGCATACGGGTTCCTTCCAACATAAACTGAATCATCGGATCGTGCCTCATCCTCACCAATCATATCACTAAGACCTAATTCTGAACTGATTTTCCAATCTGTTCCCTCATTTGTAATTTCACTCTCATTCCCTTAGCGTAGGCCCTTGCCACCTCTCCCTAGATCTGTGATAGTGAAAATGTGGGAGAAGCCCTGTCTCCAGCATCTTCCCCATCAACAGCTTTCCACAGTGTAGTCCAAATAGAATCATATGATTTCTTGTTTTTATAGCCTAGAAGCCTCCTGCTTGAGAGCCTCCGCTCTCAGCTGTTACAGGTAAGGTCATCAAGAGCTGGGCTGGCTGCAGTGAGCTGAGCTGTGATGGCACCACTGCACCCCAGCCTCAGCAACAAAGTGGGAACCTGTCTCCAAAGAAAAAGAGCAGGACCTGTGTTTCTTTGTTTCATCCATATATACATATGTATTCATATGTCTAGCCTCTTCAATGCCAAGGAAATAATAATTGCTATTTTTTTGTGAATTGAATTAAATTTACTTTATTCTACTTGGGTATTCAGTTTTAAGACCTGGTTCCAAGTGTCAGTGATACCAGTTCAGAGCTAGGTGACTGTCCACAAGCTACTTACCCTCACTTAAGTAAGTGTCTGTCACTTATGAGATTAAAGCAGGTCTTGCCTCATAGGCTTGCTAAAGGGATTAAATAAGGTAGTAGCTGGGTGCAGTGGCTCACGCCTATAATCCCAGCACTTTGGGAGGCTGAGGCGGGTGGATCACTAGGTCAAGGGATCGAGACCATCCTGGTCACCATGGAGAAACCCCGTCTCTACTAAAAATACAAAAACTTAGCTGGGCATGGTGATGCGCGCCTGTAATCCCAGCTACTCAGGAGGCTGAGGCAGGAGAATTGCCTGAACTCAGGAGGCAGAGGTTGCGGTGAGCGGAGATCGCGCCATTGCACTCCAGCCTGGGTAACAAGAGCGAAACTCCGTCTCAAAAAAAAAAAAAAAAATAATAATAATAAATAAATAAGGTAGTGCATTCAGCAGTCCCTCACTGAAACACATCTGCTTATTTGTATCTTTCAATGTTTGTTCAGTTGCTTATCAATCTTTTTATGTATCCAGCATCCACCTTAACCTTGCGGTGTATTGTTTTTAAGGAAACGTAACCAGATGCAGTTAATCATTGTAGGGATCTTCCCATTCTTGGTCATTCCTTCAAAACCTAGTTTCTATGTAGATTGGACTAAATAATAAACTTGAACATTCAAGTTTAAAGTGAAAGCAAGTACAAAGCCAATGTACTGATAAGAATTCTATAGCTTGGAAGTCAGGTCTGGTGGCTGATGTGGTTTGGTTGTGTTCCCACCAAAATCTAATCTTGAATTATTGCTCCCATAATTCCCACATGTTGACATGTTATGGGGGGGGATCCGGTAGGAGATAACGGAATCATGGTGATGGTTTTCCCCATATTCTTCTTGTGGTAGTGAATAAGTCTCATGAAATCCGATGGTTTTATAAGGGGAAACCCCTATTGCTTGGCTCTCATTCTCTCTTGTCTGCTGCCATTTAAGATGTGCCTTTCACCTTTTACCATGATTGTGAGGCCTCCCTGGCTACATAGAACTGACAGTCCATTAAACTTCTTTTTCCTTATAAATTACCCAGTCTCAGGTATGTCTTTATCCAGCAGCATGAAAAGTAGACTAACACAGTGGCTCACATCTATAATCTTAGTTACTTGGGAGTCAGAGGTGGAAGGGTCTCTTGAGCCCAGGAGTTTGAGTCCAGCCTGGACAACATATTGAGACCCTGTCTCTTAAGAAAAAAAAAAAGAAAAGAAAAAGAAACAAAAAGAATTCTACAGCATTGAGATCACAGTGGAAAATTACCTTTGATTTTTAAAAAGTTGTATAAAGCTCTGGTGAAAGAGTTTAGGAAGTTGTAATTGTGCAAGTATAAAAAGGGCAAGACTCCAGAATGATGACTCGAAATATACTTTATTACTAGTACTTTCTACTCCCTCTTTTCCTGTGATTGATATAATAAAAACTGTCATCTGAGGGTCCTTTATACACAAGGCACCACGATAGGCTGAATGTTGAACTTACTGGATTTTTGTATTGTATTTTAGGAAGATAGTGAGAAGCTGATATTAAATAAGGACTGTGAAAAAGCCCTTTTAGCAAACAGTTTTTGAGAAGGCAAAAAAAGGATATGACTTTAATGAAAATACAGATATTTAAAAATAGAAACTATAACATTTAGTGTTGGCCCCAACTACCTCTCTCAAACCTGGTTATGATGCCAGCACACCACATACTAGTTGGATAAGGATTCCTTTATTTAGGTTGAGAACACATGCCAAGCTGGGCACTGTGGCCTGGGAAGGGAAAGCCTGGCCCTGTCTGCTGGTCTCTAAGAGCGTATTATACTCACTTTGGCTAACGAGAAGATATTTACAGCCCAACTAAGGTATGTGAAAAAGCAGCAAACTCCTGGGAGAAAAGGCAAACAACTCAGGGAAATTTTTGCAGTATTTAAGTTGCTTGAACCAAAGCAAACAAACAAAAAACAAAGGGAAAAAAACCCAAAATGCAACAAAGAAAACAATGCCCTTTCTTCTTTGGCACCCTGTGCCTACAATGACATCGTATGTCCCAAAGGGTATTGAAATAGTGTGTCTGTTTCTTCCACTAATGATGGATCTTTCAAACTATTTGATAGTGAAATATAACAAAAAATATGTTTTCCATCACAACTCAGGGCACGTATACCGACTACACTAAAGCCAAATAAAAAAAAAGCTTAAGTAATTGTCCTTGCTTGTATTCTAATACTTTTTAGACTAGTTTAGTCTGCTTTTGTTTGTTTGTTTTGTTTTAATGTTGTTTGTGATCCACCAAATTCACTTGACAGCCTACTGAGGGGCCATGATCTGCAGTATGAAAAACACATTGCAGTAGAGTTTAAGGTTTCTGTACACACTCGGGACCCAGCAGAGCATCAGGCACATGGCAGCCTCTCCAGTGGTACATATGGAAGTATACTGATTGTTTAAAAGAGATGATCAGGTTTCCTCTGTTTGATAATATTTTGAGTTTGATAATTTTAACAATGAATAGCTTGTGATTATTTAGAAATGCAAAATGGAAATCTCTAGGAGTAGATGTGCTTATAAAGAAAAGGACACATCAAACTAATTTTATTCTCCTGTCTCAGTGGTTTAGCAGACCATGGACATACCAGGGACATGGAACATCCGAATTTCAGCAAGGAAACTGAAAAAAGTTCTCATGTTGTGGACAATATGGCTTACTAGCTAGATGCTACACAGTGATGTCCAATCCTTTGGCTTCCCTGGGCCATATCAGAAGAGGAAGAATTGTCTTGGGCCACACATAAAATACACTAACACTAATGATAGCTAATGAGCTTAAAAAAATTACAAAAAAACTCATAATATTTTAAGAAAGCTTATGAATTTGGGTTGGGGCACAACCAAAACTGTCCTGGGCCACATGAAGCCCATGCGCCGAGGGTTGGACAAACTTGCTACAGAGAGTTTTGTTAGTAACTGGTTGAGTAACTTCTCCAAAGCGTGTGACTAAGACTGTAAATAACCAAAGGAAGAATGTCTCAAGGTTATGACCATATTAAGAGTAACCTGAATGGGTCAGAACTCGTGTTTTTAAACTGTAAAGATGGTATAAGTCTATTTGCTAACAGTTCTTTGAGACTCAGTTTTCTCAGTTATAAAATAAAAACAATAATAAGGCATGTCTAGCACGATTCATCAACAGAACCAAATGGGACCCTGTGTGAAAATACCATATAAACCCCAGACAGATGAAAGTAGTTATTGTTATTAAAGAAGAGCAATACTGAGAAGTGTATAGAGCTTAACAGAAGTGAAGGATGACCTGTTAATAAGATGAAATTTCATCATTTAAAATATATTGACTGTAACTTCAAAAATCAACTATAGGATGTGCAGGATAAAATGAACATAGTTCAACAGCCCTTCCTATTTATTCATAGACTTGAGAGTTCTGGCAGATATAACTTAATGTGACTTAACTTTGTAATATGGCTACTGAATAAAGGCACCAACCTTAGGATG